GCAGAAAGAGAGAGGAAGAGAGGAGCTCAGTGCATCATGGGAAATCCCCCGATAGACTAGGCCTATAGCAGCATAACTAAGGGATGGTTCAGGACTCACCTGATCCAGCCCTAACTATAAGCTTTATCAAAGAGGAACGTCTTAAGCCTACTCTTGAATATGGAGAGGGTGTCTGCCTCCCGAACCACAACTGGAAGCTGGTTCCACAGGAGAGGAGCTTGGTAACTGAAGGTTCTGGCTCCTGTTCTACTTTTAGAGACTATAGGAACCACAAGTAGCCCAGCATTCAGAGAACGTAGTGTTCTAGAGGGGTAATAGGGTACTATGAGCTCTTTAAGATATGAAGGGGCCTGACCATGAAGAGCTTTGTGGGTGAGGAGGAGGATTTTAAATTCTATTCTAAATTTTACAGGGAGCCAGTGCAGAGAAGCTAGTACAGGAGAGATGTGATCTCTTTTTCTAGTTCCTGTCAGTACTCGTGCTGCAGCGTTTTGAATTAATTGGAGCGTTTTAATTGACTTATTGGGGCAACCTGTAAGAGTTGCAGTAATCCAGCCTAGAAGTAACAAATGCATGGATTAGTTTTTCTGCATCTGTCTATGATAGGATGTGTCTAATCTTAAGCTGTAAGAGGAGTCTGGAAGTAATTCTGCAGCTCCAGTATCAGCAACTCTCTCTGCTCTTGACATTGTTCTTGGGACTGTGTCTAAGTTGAGTGCTGAATACTGGAAAAACATTTTGTTGTTGTCACCTGATTGAGGGTTAGGGTTAGGGTTAGACATCAACAAACCGGTATTTATTACCGCCTAATCAGTACAATAGATAAAGAAGAAGTGAACACACATCAATAATACTCACATATTTTATATTTTAATTACTAAAAGGAGTTATAGCCTGCATAAGTGATTTAAATAGAAAAAAATAAAGTTACTAATTCATGTAGACTAATTGATTATTTAATGAATCGTTCTCTCATTTGAATTTAGTGTATTCTTTAACCTGGTGACAGTAGAAGCTTGTTGCACTTATCTCTGTTATGTTATAAATTATTCATGACAATTTGGCCGCCCTCCAAAATATACAATAGATCAGTGCAGCATTTTTCAATATAACTGTATCACCAAGTCAGCTGTCCTCAGCATTCTTCTTTTTTATGTATTACTACAACTGTTAATTTAACAAATAGGGCAGGATTCAGGTCACCCTAGGCACCAGGTTTTGACCATGAAGAATATGTGTGCAATAAAAAGACATAAGAGATGTCTCAGTTTCTCCTGCACCTCTTTTTGATCGCCCCAGTTCTATCAGAAAGTAAACCATCAATACAATAACTTCTGTAACTCACTGACAGCACAATCTGCCTGTTAATGCAGGACATCCATCTGCTGTTGCAGTATTACAGTTAACAGGCTAAATCCCACGGACCTGTAAATCATTCTGAGGAGTGAGGGGTTACCTAATTCTTGTGCCTGGGGGAACAGAGCTGGTATCTGAGCAGCAGCTGCTCGCTTTAGGCAACAGAGCAAAGAGCTGCTTGCTGTTAACCTGCATGTGATAATTAAACTATCGTTGACATACCTTCTGTTATTGATGTCAGACGACAGGAGTAATAAAATCTGAGATAATCACAGGTCGTATATACTACTTAGTAATCATAGATGATGGTAATTCTAAAGACGGCTGTTGTGCAATCATATGACAGCAGAAACAGTGTCACTGTACCTGTATTGTATAAATAAATGTACCTTCATTGTTATCAAAACAAAAAGGCTGACACAGGACACTCATTGCGCTCACTTTTCTTCATCCAGACAAAACTAAAAATGTGAGACCAGTGTTTATACAGTGATATTTATCCACTGTGGAGTATTTTATGGCTCAATGCTTGGTAATGTCTGGCTCTCAGTATTTCCAACACATTGGTCCAGACTGAAAAAACTTAACTATTGGACAGCTTAAGATGAAATATTGTACAGACAATCATGGTCCCCAGTGGATGAATCCTTCAGACTTTGCTGATCCCAAGCCTCATCATTTGCTCAAAATTGTATTGATCTTTGGTTTATGACCAAATATCTGTAGATTCTTAGACACCTGACAGTTACCAGGTGGTCCGACTGAGAAAAGCACTGCGTTAAAGTTGTGGGAGGTAACATGTGATCAAGAAAGACTGGTTTTAGTAATATAGCCACAAGTTTAAAGATAAAAATGCAAGGCAGTGGTTTTGTAGTAGTTATACTGAAACAGGAATTAACAAGTGGTGAAGTTATCAGAGTGAGAATATTTTTATTCTTCATCTTGATTATCTTGTAATTACCAGTAATGTACCCGTGGGCGGGTTGAGGTCAATCGAGTGTTTTCTGATTATATTTCTGGTCACAGTTCAAAGAAAACATCTGCTGTTTGCGAACGTGTGAAGGTCTTGTTCGTGTCCTCCATATTTTCAAATGTATATGTATATTAATTATCAAAAAAACAGTATTATTAGATTTAAGCATAATAATTACATATGTAGAATCATAATCTATTTTATGCTGCATATTTACTGTATTAAGTCCCCCCCCACACACACACACACACACACATACACACAAACACACTTACACACTAAAACTTGGCATCTGCTGTGCCAACTCCTCACACTTGGGGTTTCTGTTTGGATGGGCTCACAGCCAGAGGACACAATGTGCACACACACATACTGTACACAGTGAACTGTTGCTCAACGGGCTGTAACAAGAAAGCTTCTGAGCTGTCTGTGTGTTTGTGTGTGTGTGTGTGTGTTAGTTTAGCAGAACAAGATTCAAGTTCCTCGATGACAAAACTTTACCGTCACTCTGTGGTTAGGAGGTCGAAGGTTGGGGGTTGCAGCGGTCAGAAAAAAAGTCCCTAACCTCAGAGTGACCTTATGAGAGAGAGGAAGGTCCGAGAGGAGGAGAGCTGAGAAGGGAGAGGTTTTGGGTGTGAAAAAAAAAAAACCTGGCTTAGGGTGCCAACTTTGGGTGGATGTATGAACATGTGCAGACGTGTGAGGGTATGTCAAAATCTTTGGGCTGGACCCTCGTAGTCATGCGTAGGTGACATAACCCACAGTGATGCTGGGGACAAACTGAAGGCGCACATGTTAACCAATTGGTCTATTCACAGAGTGCGCGGCTCGGAGCTCCTTCATCGCCTCGCAGTCTGGAGCGATCGTTTTGGCGTCTGTTCATTTTTCCTCAAGCTAAGAGCGAATCTGGCAAGAAAACACACTGATAGTCTTTTGTAAATGATATAAACAATATAATACATTATCTGATTCTAACAAATGTATCAGTGAGGTTTTTTTCCACACCCAAAACCTGTTGCTTCTCAGCTCTACTCCTTCCCTGATAGCTGTTATCCATACAGACTGGACAGAGTGACGCCCACTGTGGGTAGAACAGAGCTTCGGCTCCTTGATGCACAAAACAAACAAACCCAAAGTAAAGACTGAGAGATCGGCTCCAACTGTTTACCCGAGCAGACCTCACGACCCGCTGCATCTTCCTGGAACAGCTCAGCCCGAACCAACCTTGACCCTGGATTTACCTGTAAACACACACACACACACACACACACACACTCCTCTGTCACACTTCAACCATTCAGTCACGAGTCAGTGTGAGCTGCAGCATCACTGACTCGCACACACATATACATATACAAGCATTTTCCCTTGGAGTCCTGAGGGGTTTTTTAGTCTGGTCAGCAGTCTGTAGTGTGTGTGTGTGTGTGTGTGTGTGTCTGTGTGTGTGTGTGTGTGTAACCATCCATTTAACAGGCCATTTCCACGGAGCGGATGTATTTACATACATGGCCTTTGTAAAACAAACACACTCTAACACAGCAGTTAGCTTTCTCTGCTAATAGCTAACAGGCTGACAGGGATGATGTAGTGTTGAAATCACTGACGTGATAACAATCTGTCACGTCTGCCGCATGTTTGTGCTGCACACTCTCCCTCTCGTTCTGTACTCTTACATTTAGTTTTTGTGTGTCCTTTGGCAAAATTACAAGGAGAGAGTTTGAACAAGTATGAACTTGACCTTTGACCCACTTCAGGCTGTTTAAACTGTACTGTAAACACTTTCATCTGTCTTCATCAGAGTTGAAACTGCATTTTTCTTTTTTTTTGTTGCCCAGTCTGTATTGTAAAACGCTTCAATCAACCCAAACTGTGCAGGTCAAAGGTCATTAGACACAGCAGTAAAGATGTTGTATTGCTTGTGTTTACATGTCAGACAGGAAAGTGCATAAACGTGATTTAATATATGTGAACAGGTTTCTTTGAGATCCAAATAAACATTGTAATGACAATATTATCTTATATGGATTTTTTATGGGATTTTCTAGCAATAGTGAGTTGCAGTTGAGGAATATGTTGGTCCACCTCTTTGGTGAAATGGCTCAACAACTATTTATCATCAACACCAAGGATCAATCCTAGTGATTCTGGGGGATGTGCACTCTTTCT